GTGGTCGTAGCAGAACGGTTGATGTGGTAGTCGATGAGGTGTGGAACGGTCTACGTTAGTTCGGTTGTGGTATGTTAATCAGAAAAAAGTGTCGATATTTATGGATCGAAGGAGTGCATCAATGGCTAACACTTCTTCTTACCGCTTTGTTAGTTCCATATCCACTTTGTGGATGGTGTTGTAACCTTTTAAAAGTTTTGATTCATTCAATTTTTAGAGTAATTTTTAATCTTCAAATTTGAAGACGATAAAACATATTTGCCGTTGTTTGATTTATTTTCTTTCACGTTCTTTTGGGTTGTAGTTAAGATCTAGTTATGTATTTTTGTTTTCTTTCTACAATTTTTGTTGTTGTTGATTCGATACCATCGCTTCTAATAGTGTGGGTCGAACTGTTTCGCTTCTATTAAAACATTTTGAATTAGAGTATTTTTATGTGTTAAGAAAAACACAACAAAAATGAATCATTTATTTTGCTTTCCAAATATTTAAAAGTCTATATACTGTACATAGGTCACTAGCCTCCAAATTATTAAAAAATCAATATACGTAGGTCACTAGTCTCCAAATGTTATATCACACCTATTGATGTCTTATTTGAATCTTTGTAATCCTTTCATACCGGTTTTCGGTTTAATAAACTTGTTATACAACGTTAAAAGAAAAAAAAAATTACGTCTCATATTCGTTTCTACTTATTGGATATAAGATGAAATACATCTTGGACATTTAAAATTTTGAAATAACCAAAAAATATTTTTTTTTGTTCAAAATTTCTCAAAAACAGATATGATTATTTATCTTAGTTCGTAAGAATTTTTTCAAAATATTTGGTCTCCGAGTTAACAAATATCGTAATTCGTAAGAATTTGAGTAATAGTTTTAGGTTTTTTAGCTACCCAAAATTTTCAAACACGTCTCTTATCCGAATGTGTCTTAAAATATTTAGCAATATTCTTACAATATAATGAAGAGTTTTAACAATATTTTCAATATATCGGAAAAAGGAAAGACGCCAGAAAAAGAGAAGCAAAAATGGAACATTTGAGAAAAACCAATTGGCTCAAATCACAAACCAAATCTTCATTTCGTGATCATACCTTACTAATTAAAACGTCTTCCCTGATTTAGTGGCTTAATACTATGATTTGGTCATTAAACTCAACTTCCTCTTTAATACGATATGGAAAGGAAAAAAAAAATCAGCATTGTATCCATAATTTAGGGAAGGAAAGAATATTTGAGGGTAAAACCATATATTTTCTTGCGTGTGTAGTATATAAACACAAAAAGAGGAACTCCATTGTTAAATCAAGAAACTTCAGAAAGTGGAGCGATCAACATTCGACAAGGTAAGGTATTATACCTTCTTTTTATAGTTTATATAAATACATACATGTGTTTTCCATATAACTCTATTTTAGCATGTCGTTTGGCGTATTAGGATTTGGAATTATGCACACTTTTGTGTGTTGAAGATAATAATTACGGAGGAAAAACAAAACTCCGTTCTATCTATATATCCAAACCTAATATTGATTAAAGTCGTGAGATGTTAAATGGCCTCGTAATAAAAGTTAAAATGATTGTAGAAACGTTTTGTGATCGCAAATACATTTTGGCCATTCGTAGATTTTTATCTATACTTTTTATTTAGAATGATTGGTCATAACTTATGTTTGGTATAATGATTTGTTCGAGGTCAAGACTAAAGATTTATTCACAAACCACTACTTTTTCTCCTTTTTTTTTGAAGTTACAAGTTTTTCATTTGGGGTAATGTCTAAAAATGTCACATTTTCGCTTTGTTTTGTTTGGTAAAATATTATTTTTTTTCATTATCTAGGATGGGTCGGAAGATGGTAAGGATGGCGAGGATAACGAACGAGAAGACGAGGATAACGACTTACAAGAAGAGGAAAGCATGTTTGTACAAGAAAGCCAGTGAGTTCTCAACACTTTGTGGTGTGGACACGTGTCTCATTGTGTACGGCCCGACTAGAGCAGGGGAAGAGGTGGTCATGGAGCCCGAGTTATGGCCGAGGGATGAGAGCAAAGTCAGAGACATCATAAGAAAGTACAGAGACAAAGCATCGACCAGCTGCACCAAAACTTTCACCATACAAGAATCCTTGGAGAAAAGTAATAGTGCAAAGATGGAGAAAGTGAAGTATTGTCCATGGGACAAGAAGCTGAATAACTATTCTTTAAGCGAGCTATATGCGGTTTTCGTGGCAGTTGGGAATAAGATTCAGGAGGCTGCGAACAGGAATATGACATTTCCCGAAACTTCTTGGTCTAATGAACAACTTGGTTTATGCGGTTACAATCAGCAATTTCTCGCGCAGCATCAGTTGTTTCCTATGTCTACGATCGAGCCCAACGGGTTCTCTTGTCTCCCTTTTCTTAACCAAATGACCCCAAATACCGCGGACCCGGCTTCTTTCTCAAATGTGACAGAGCTAGAGATTGCTCAAGCCTTGATGATACCAAACGGTCAAAACTTTTTTTACGGGAGTTGTTCGGATGGTCAATACGGCCGGACATTTATGGAGCCAATGCAATGGGGTTTAGGGAACGGTGTCTTCAACAACGTGAAGCAGTTCACAGAGTATCCATCGAGACCTGCACAAGTGAATGACTTGGAGGATTCTGGTAAAACACCGATGTAAAATGTCGTTTACTCCTTTCGTTTGAATGTTGGTTGGATTTCAATTAGGTTGATGAACTATTTATCTTCATATTATTATGTTTGGATGATTTAAAAATGCAATGGAATTTGATGCTATAACAT